TAAAGAATTACCATTGTTGAATTTGGATAGAAAAGTCAAAGATGAATATATACATTTATATGGAAAGGCTACAAAATATATAAAATATTCTTCCTTTCCTGTAAGGGACCAGGTTTTCTTCATATGCTTCAATCGACACAACGTTGCAGCAGATTGAAGGCAGAAATAGATATGAGAATACAATTATGTTCTATTAAGAGATTGCAAATTTGTCAACCAGTATCACTTTTCCCATTACATTATTTTTCATTTTGAAAAATGAAAAATAACTTATTTATTTTAAATAAGTTATTTAGGTTAACACTGGTAAAGGATTTATTATTGTTTTTTAAAATAAATAAAATATTTTGCAGTTTCTCAGTTTCTATTATCATAAATGTTGGTAGATAAAACGTGTTCAACCCAATGTTCTTTAGGGTCTTCAATAATCATTACAAGTGTAAGTGTGAGAATCACTGAACAAAATTTTTAACTTTTTTTAATGAGAGGAAGTGTGTTCATGACACACAGTTATGACAAAGATTATAGTGTATTTGTAGTTCATAATATCATTTATACTATAAATGCTCTTTTTAGAGCATATCCTAATGTTAATTTGTTTCCTGAAAAGACCAGGAACTGATGTCACTTGACATCCCATTCACTTCTATTACTGTAGTTCATGGTTCACCATCAGGTAGCTCAAGATCAATTGGAAAATTGATAGGCCAACTCTGATTTAACAGTGAATGAGTATTGATTTGGATCATTTTGGATGAACACAATATGGGTGAATCCAAATATGTTTTAATTTTAACTTGGGTGATAAATATCAAACTGTAAGGGTATTTGGTTCCCACTTGCAAAAGATGTAGGTATTCTGGGAAATTCTGTCTGGGCGATCTTGGCAGTACATCTGTCACAAGCATCTAGTGTGGCGACACTATAGCTGAACTCTGGGTTCCATACTTCTTGCCATGTCAAAACCTGAAAATGTTATTGAAAGCCCTGATTTTCTAGCCGTAGGGAGGAAGGAACATCTTGACTGAGTGGTCAACTCAACAGTGAGAAAGTAGCAAAGTGCCATTGTGTTTGGAAGCACAGTAAAAATGTGATTTCAGATATAATACTCTTGACTGTGGCCCAGATGGGGATGAGCACAAATTTTATGTTCTAGCGGAAGGAAGTGGAGTTAAAGAACAACTGTCTCAGGAACACTTGGGGCTATCTCACTTCAGTGTATGGGCAGTTGTGCGCAAAAATAAGTTTGTATCTTTGAGGCTTTTGTGACAATACAGTATAGCAGAAAAAATGTTTTTCGTGGTAACAGGATCTACAATTTTATGGAATGGTGTATCTTCGAGAGAAGTAGTTTTGTTAGCCCCAAGGATAATTTGCTGAAACAATGCATAGAAGGGGGAAAATCAAGTTCAACAAGCATTCCTTCTAGACATTAACACAATTGACAATGAAATAAAAGATAACAGAGAAAAGAATATCCTACCTCAACATATTTCCTGTTTTTATTTTAAAGGAGGAAGAGATGCACGAGAGGAATCTTATCACAGGGGATGTAATTGGCTGTCAGAGGCCTCGTCTACCTGCTCACAGCATCAGAGCCCCATACTTGGCACATCTCTTTAATGTCAATATATTTAATAATGTAGCACCAAATAATACACTATAATAAAGCAGCATAAGGGTTAAATTAAAAGTGGAGGCAATAACTTGGCCAAAGAAATGGAAGCAATATTAGTTTGTTGGGTGTTTTAGAGATCTGATTTTTCTAGAGGAATTAGGATTGTTTCAGTTCTTTCTTCTTTCTTGTTTGACTGATAATTTTACTTAAAATAGACCCTAGTATTCTATTCCTGCTATGAACCATAGTAGATTATTTTGTTATAATTATATTTCATTAATAAAAGTGATAAAAATAAGCAATATCCAATAAAGAGATCAGCCTATATAATCTGGAAAGGAAGACTTTCTTTTCATCATATTATAAAATTGCAAAGCTGATTGGTTTTTTTTGATAATTAATCAACAGCATCCTACTTTTCCAGTTGGTTAAAAATAGCTAAAACTTTTTGTTATGTCTGGGAATGCTACCCAAAATATATAACCGTCAATCATGCTTTATTACTGCTTATTTCAAAGAAGTTACTCTGCAAGGTGTAATTGTCTTAAGTTCATATTATCAAGCCATAGATTTAAAAATAGATGACAAATATTTTGTGGTCAAAAATGTTACTTGAAGGGCCATCCTTTCTGTGATTGTGAGTTTGGAGAATCCCATTATTCCTGTGTGTAAAACTACAGGAAGACATAAGCAAAGGCCTGCAATTACACTGTAGTGTGCAGTCACCTGCTACTCAACTTGCATGTTTCGGGTTCAGACAAGTTAGTGCAGCCTACTGCACCTTATAACTAGTGGCCAATTGAGGCTGTGATAACTTGTAATTATTTCTAGGGCTAATTCTACACCAGAACTGATGGCAAATTTCCCACGGAAAGAGAAAAAGAAGACAAGATGTAAGTTGTGTTAATGCCTACCTGACCCTTACATGCCTACCAACTGGTTTTAATTAGTGAATTTCTCTCACCTCTGGAAGCAAAATTATAATACTACAGTCAATAGATTTTCCTTGCACATACTTAACAGAAGAAAAAAAAAAAACTTGCTTCACTTTCATCTATTTCTGTTTTCATGAACTGTGTAGGTAAGTCCCTGGTGCAGAAAACAAAGTAGCCATGTTGTGACTAGCAGAAATCTTTGAGAATTCCCAGGGGAAGTAGCACTCAAGAAAAAAGGTACTCCATACTTTTTTCCCCCTAAAGGGTAGGTTTGAAGATTATGCTATTAGAATAGTACAATGATATTGTAGTGTTATTTAAATTTGACTGTCCACAAGTGATTTTATGAAACCTTAGGCATAGACTATAGAAACAAATACTATTTGATCAAAGAACAAATATTTTTCTCTTGTGAAAATGTGTAATAGGGCTTTTAAAAGGCTCAGTTGAGAAAAATGTCTGAGCCTGTTCTTATTTCCTAGAAAATATCAAATTGACATTTTTTTTCATTGAAATGGGTTATGTTGTTAAGAAAAATTACTTCAATAGGGAAGACTTTCAGATTTGTTATGCATTGATTTAAACTGAATATGTATAATCTGGTACATATAGTATAAAATGGTAGAACTAGTTTTAATATTAGAATTCACACAATGTTTTCTAATTTTTGTTTTGACCAGGTTATTATTCTACTTAATTTCTATACAGCAAACCCTTTTGGAATTTTAAGACCCAGTTTAGATCAGTGACCACCACTTTCAAAATTTTAGTTCATTGGAAGCTCCTTTCATCATCCGGCCTCTCTCTAGGGCTGAGGGATGGGGGTGTTGTTGGGTCAGAGGGAGGGGAGAGGAGGGAAGAAGTTTGTGGAAAGTGTGTCGTCTATAATACCTTTATGTTTGTCAATAATGCAAACTGGGAGTATTGTTTCTTTCTGGTTTTGAATGGAGAACACAAAGCAAAACTTCCACATAATATCAGGCCAGGTCCACAAATAATTGCAGAAGCAAAAAGGCTCCTTGTACCTTATTCTAAGGACTAATAATCAGTTGATTGGGTCTGCAATTAGCTTCTCTGGTCACAATCAATTACAAGTGCAATTTCTGTGTGTCAACTAATTTTGTGCAAAAGTAGTCCCACCGAAACAAAAGTCTGAGTTGGAATGAAATTCAGATCTTTCTTACCTCACTTACATCCTAAGAATTTCTTCTATGCTGTTTGAGAAGACCGTGACTAAACGGTTTTGTCCAAAATTCCAGGTTTTTAAAACTTTTGTATAGGTTCTTAAGATGTAAGTACTTGAGAATCTAGGAAAGTTTGCTAAACTTTATTTACAATGAATATCTTACTAATTTCAAATAGAATCTTACTTATATGATAATTTTAATGGTTTTAGTCTGCTTTTCATATTACTGTTGAAATGTGTTATGTTTCTACACTATACATAAATACACAAACACATGTACTCACACATGAGCTTAAATAAATTGCAATTTAGAATTCTGTTACAGTAGATAACCTAAGGCACCACTCTACTTACGAGGCCTTAACAAAGAGCTAATGTGTAATACAGAGATTCAGCGAGTTTAGCTCTTTGTCAAAACTCTACCAAATCAGCCTAGGAAATTTGGCCTTGCCAAGGACATTTAACACAGTAGGTAGATAAATAGCAAAACAAAACAAGCAAGCCAGCCAACAAATCCCAAATATTTTGACAGCAGCACATGTTTTAAAAGAACTTCCAATGCAAATTTCTGAAATTCCCAATGTCATTTTGGCATACCTATTTTACCACTGTGTTGCAGACAACAGCTTTTAAGTTCCCCAATTCATAAATGTAATTAAATAATTACATTAGTGCTAATTAACATGAAACTGCAGATTATTTAAGCGCAAAAAACACTATTCAACTTCTTAATTATTCTTGTTCACACAGCATTTCCTTTTGCTCAGGCGCCCTAGGTGCAAATAAAGCATCCCATCTGCTCGTAATTAGAACTAAATAATTTCAGAGAATGTAGCTTATCATTTTGACTGCACATTTGATTAAAAACAGTGTACAAGCAATATCCTGGCTTATTGGCGTAACAGCAACAACACACACAAGCCTGTGTTCTTCTATCATTAAAGAAGATCGAAAACATTATCTGTTATTTCAGGGGGAAAAATACAACTTTTTAGTTCATTTCATACAGATGAAAGCGAATTACAGCAAATCACCTCTCCACTGAATAGCAGCCCCCACATAATGACTTTATTTGCTTAATCCCCAAATTAAACGCCGTTTCGAGCGAGGGCCCTGTGTTATTACTCTCATCATGTCGAGAACATTTTCCTGCCGAGACCAATTTGAATAAAACAAGGGGCCTTCCTTGAACTCAATCAAGGAGCCATAATGTGGTGGGTAATAGAGGTTGCTGATAGATTTGCAGGCAAAAGTGTTATACCTAATGATGGGATATGGATAATAGTCCTCCTGGAGGTCCTGATGCGATTCCAGTTGGCTGCCAGATGCTAAAAATCAAGAAGAGCATTGATCAGTGACAGGAAGCTGTAGTGGATTCATCTAGTCAAACTTCAGCTGTTTTTCCACTGTACAGTTAAGCCAGGCATAAATTATATTAATTGATTTAATTACATACTTAAAACATCTTCCCCAATTAATTTAATTAGGTGGCTACATGATGCTACTGGCAGGGGAAGATTAGAGGCAGCTCACTTAATTAACAGAATATGAATGAAAAAAAGAGAAAGCAAACATAAATGAAATTGTGAGCACTAATTAAAAGGCTGTCTGCAAACTTAAATACTTTCTGACAAAGTGGTGACAGCAATGTAGACAAGAGAGGATTTTTTTTTTCCTAGCAAATTAAAGTGCCAGAAGGTATACATAAGGAGAAAAGGTAATGCAGTTAAAACATTGATTTTCTGACAGAACAACCATAGTCAAAGTGAAGGGACTTTTTTTCCATAGAAAAATTGCAACAGATTTTGCAGGCGCAAAAGTCAGTTTCCCTGTTAGGGGTAAAATATGACATACAAACAAATGGAGGGTTTGAACATCATATACTGAGGGGAGAGGAAGGCGAGGGAGGCTGAAGGGGGGGGTGATTGGAGAGATAAAAGGAAGATAAAGAGAGAATGTACTGGAATTGCTCAAGCAAGAAATGTTTAGAAAAAGAGGTCTGCCTTAACAGCTGGCAGCCTTGTGTACCTTGGCTCGAATGTGGAAATTCTCCAGGTGTCTCTGACGCGTTTCCATCAGGATCTTCTTCACTCGGGTCTTATGGCAATGTAAGAGCCACGAAATGGCAATCACACCGGACGCCCACTTTTGCTGGCGGTAAAGGAGGAAGAATTTCCTTGTCTTGTGGCATTTCCATGTCGCTTGGATCTTGTTGGCAGCCACTGACCTTCCGTCTTGGCCCTTGTACCTTTGCCCTGGAAGACTTAACAACTTTTGGATGGGCAGTGGGTTTTCTATCACTGAGAGGAGGTCGTATTTGGTAAGTTTATTCTTCAGCTCAAATTCTGGAAGGAGGGCTACCAATTGATTCCCTTTTATTTTGACTTCTGGGACTGCATAGTCCCTGAGAAACTTCTCGACATGTTCCAGGAGAGAAAAAATACTTCCCCAAGACAAACTAAAATGTTGCTTGAATGCTAAGAAATCTGGGGCTGTCTTGTCTATGATGCCATTACAAATTACAAAATCATGCTCCCATGGTAACTTCAAAGTTTTAGGTGTTGCAATTTTCATGCCCTGTGGAAGGAAAGTGTTGCCAGAGATGGAATATAATTGTGATCCATTTAAAATGACTCAAGACACACATGCTATCACTTTACCACTTATTCCTCAATAGTGGAAAGAAATGGATACTAGTTTTGATTCAATACTAGTTTTGACCAATTCAATGGTCTTAAAACACATTCCTAGAAGAATATTTTAGAGGTCACTCAGAGTTATTATCATTTTCATTAAAGTGTTCTAACATTTCTCAAGGGAACTGATCATATCAGAGATATGCATTTAATTCACTTTGATATGGTCTGCTCACCCTAGAATCTCTGTGATTTGCTTTTTACAATTGCATGGATAGAAGTATATTGCTACTTTCTTGCTCATAAGTCATCCACCAATCCCCAAAACAGGATGAAGCCTTTCTTTATGGTAACTTCAGATGTGCTCAAAGCCACCCTGTTTTGACATTCTGTCACTTGCTAAGATTTTAGAGTTCTTCTTCCACTTTCTCAACACCCAGGAGTGATTTTTACAAGGAGCACAATATTATCATGCTTGCCACTTTCTAGGCTCCCCTTGATGTGCGTTCTTTAATTCTCAAATCTGGTGTCTTCTGGGGACATTTCTGGAGCTGTGATGGATAGAATCTGAAATCTTATAATAACCATATTTGGTAAGTTTAAATAACTTTTTATTTGTTCTCACATGTACTGACTGAATTTTTTTTTTTTTTTTTTTTTTAATTTTTCTAGAGGCATGTCTTATTTATTTATTTATTTATTATTTGTTTGTTTGGTTTATACATGCACTGGGTACAGTCAGAAGCGTGGGAGGGTGAGAGAATTCACCAGAGCCAGAGCGGGGAGCAGAGCAGGCAGAAGGACCGAAGTACACTGCTGAGGGGAGCAGCGGGCGGCAGGAGAGGTCTGCACGCCATGTGGGACCCTCCTCCGATGGCCGGGGAGCAGCCGGGGATCGAACCGGCTGCAGAGGCTGCAGGCAGCTTCGCAACCCAGTGCTCAACCGCTGCGCCACCGGGGAGGCCCCCTGACTGAATTTTTTAATTCTTGAAAATCTACCGCTTTTATTTTTAAATGTCAAGAGGGGTTCTCTAAGAATGAGGTGATGGGCAGTTTTTTTTCCTTCTTTATATTTTTCTGTATAAAACAATCCCACAAATCCTAGGATAAGTGCCATTTTAAAAATAAAATCAGAAGAGGTTTGGATGACAATAGCAAGATATGTCACACACATTTTAACGAAAGAAAAACCAAAAGTTTGTTGTGTCTATGTCCAGTGTAAAAAGCACTACATTTCATTCTTGAAACCTGTTGCACTAGAAGTATAGATACTTGGCCCCCATGGTCTAAATGACACAGATAGATGTTTCAGGTCCTGCCTACTCCTCTTTTGCTTAGGGATTTGATGAACAGAGTTGTCTTTAATATGTTACTCTTTCTGATGTATAATCCCACCTTTATTAAATTATAGGATTATATTGTTCTCTGCATTTTAAAGAGTTTTCACAAAACTCAAGGAAAAAAAGACCCAGTTAATTTATTAATAACTATTATGTCTCAGCACTGTGTTGAATGTTACTAGGTTAGACTGTTCATGCTTTGTCTTTACTGAACAAATGTTAACTAACTTGTTAGTTAACAAATTTAAGGCAAAAAGCTATCTAGGAAAAAAGTAAACCAAAAGTAAACAATGACAGCACATAAATAAACACATCTTTTAACAAACTTTCAAATTCTTTTTCTTCTTTTAGGTTCTGAGCCATACAATAACTAATTAGACTATGATCTCAAGTAAAAATGTTGAAATGCAAGTGTGAAGCCCTACGGGGGTATCCCCTTGAACTTTAGACCTAAAGTACTTTTAACTTAAGAGTTGTTCTGGGGGCCTCCCCGGTGGCACAGCGGTTGAGCGCTGGGTTGCGAAGCTGCCCGCGGCCTCTGCGGCACCGGTTTGATCCCCGGCTGCTCCCCGGCCACCGGAGGAGGGTCCCACATGGCGCGCAGACCTCTCCTGTCGCCCGCTGCTCCCCTCAGCAGTGTACTTCGGTCCTTCTGCCTGCTCTGCTCCCCGCTCTGGCTCTGGTGAATTCTCTTGCCCTCCCGCGCTTCTGACTGTACCCAGTGCATGTATAAACAAAATGAACAAAACAAACAAATAAATAAATAAATAAAACATGCCTCTATTAAAAAAAAAAAAAAAAAAGAGTTGTTCTGGGTGTTAAGAATAATGGGGAAAGTCTTCTTGCCAAAACTCTAGCCCTTTCTGATCTAATTGAGGCACCAAGAGAGAATGCAAACTGTTTGGTAGGGGGAAATCAATTCCTTCTTCTTGGATGGGCAAGAGAGACTTGGAGAAGTCACGCCTCCTTTAGCAGACACCAGTGCTGGCAGGAGGAGCCGCAACTCCTGGAAGAAGACAAGTGGCACATGTTCCAACAGAAATGGCCCGTGGCTACATTTCTGCCTTCGTTCAAGAATGGGCTCTGAGAGTGGGAGGGGAAGAATTCTGAGAAAAAGAGCAGTGCTTTACAGTGGGAAACAGACACATAAAGCCACAGATGGACATGTATGGAACTGGCTGGTCTTGCCAGTCACATGTTCGATCCTGTCAACAAGACCCTGAGACTCTATAGAAGCACAGCTATGAACGGGATATTTTCCAGGGAATATGGTGTTCTCAGAAATGTTAAAATAGTTTGGTCCTTATCTTTGCAGAGAATTATGTGGAATTGGGACCATATATTAAAATGGAGCACCTGTGGGAGAATTTTAGAAAGAAAAAGACTCTTAAGTCTGTCTGGACAGTGCCTTTCCATGGGGTAAGCCTAGCATGTTTACATATATCAGCAAATGCATTTTAAACCTTTTGAAAGAATAGCTGTGGGATGGGAGAATTTACCAGTGGCTGTTTTAGAACAAAGGGATTACACCTCCTTACCTCCTTGGATGATATGCCAGTAAAGACCTGCTCTCAAAGGAAACATACTCTTGGACATCAAATAGACCACTCAGGCACAGGGAAGCTATGGGTTTGGAGTCAGCTAAAGCATAACTGTAGTACATCTGTCACAAGGAATGCCACACTTGGGAGCACTTTAGACTTAGAGCAAGAAAAGACATGTCTCTCCAGAGAAAGGCTTCCCAAATTAAAGCAGTGCATCAGCATTGTGAGATCCATTGAGCAGGTAAAGACAAAGCTGCTTCACAGCCTGCTAGGAATAAGAGCCCTGATTAAAGGTCATGCCGTGCTTTAGGTTCTGCTTCCTTCTGTTATTGTTCCTTTGCTATTTATCTCCATGAACTTGTCTCCTTCCTTCCTTCCTTCCTTCCTTCCTTCCTTCCTTCCTTCCTTCCTTCCTTCCTTCCTTCCTTCCTTCCTTCCTTCCTTCCTTCCTTCCTTCCTTCCTTCCTTCCTTCCTTCCCTTCTTTCTTCCCTTCTTTCTTCCCTCTTTTTTCTTCCTCCCACTCTTCCCCCTCCTACCCCTTCCCTTCTGTTCTACTATTTATTCTTCCTTTACTATTTATCTCCATGAACTTGTCTGCAATTCCTCAGTCCTTCCTTCCTGCCTTCCTCCCTCCTTCTCTCCCTTCCCCTCCCTCCCCTTCCCTCCCTCCCTCTCTCTTGCTTTTTGTAGATGTACTATATTCCCAATGTGATGTTGCACACTCAATAGCCACATAATTTCTTTCTGGTGGAGATGGCTTCTGTTGAGACATTCAAATTTTCACCTGGTCCTTCTTGGGACCCTGGCCACACTTTTTTGAGATGCCTGTGCTCCCTAATTGGCCCACACAGAGCCCAATCCTAGGGCCGTGGCCTAATTATTAGCATCCTGCTCTAACTAACCGAGTCAACTAGCTGGGAAATGCTTTTCTTCATTTGCAAAGTGTAATCACTAATTAGGTAACTTTGAGAGTTTCTGGAGCAGTTATTTAGGGAAAATTCTATGTCTGAAACAAAAATAGGAAGACAAGATGGGAAACGGACACATAAAACCACAGATGGACATGTATGGAGCTGGCTTACAGACTCATTATATGTCTGTAAGTCACAGGCTTACACTGAAGCAGAAAAGACAAGCCCAGTATTATTTTCTAAAAATTTAAAACAACTGTCACAAAGAAAAATTCCCAAAAAGAAGCATGTATTTCTAAGATGACTGTCTTTATTAAAAAATTTCATTTCACACATGTGGATATAGGATTAAACTGTAATTGAATATTCCTAAATTGGATGTAACAAAGATCTCTTGATGGTAAATGGTCACATATATGGGATAATCCAACATGGATACCATCTTCAGAGAATGCTATCTAGAAGGATACAGGAAAGTACTTTTGAACCTATGGTTAAATGTTCAGCTTCTCAAACACTGAAATATTTCAATTGGCCTAGGCAATTCTGTTTGTTACAAAGAAAATTCTTCCTGCCATTATAGCTCTAAGTAAGAGCTTAGATTCAGAGTATGAGTGAAGTGACTCAGAGATTGAATCTTCATTATTTCCTGAAAATCAAGGATGCCATTTTTCCTACCTGTTCCTGTTAAAGGTCCACAGTGTGTTAAGTTCTATATGGAATAGACATCAAGATTTCAGTTTGCTAGCGTTGTTTGAAATATATATACAATAATCAGAAAGAATAGCTGATCTAGTGTGGGTTCAGGGATTCAGCATAATCACAGTCCTGAATTTTAAAGTATGAGGGATCGTGAATGTCACTGATTTTGTTTTTCTACTTAGGAGGCTATTACAGGCCCAGAGAAATGAGTCTTGGCCCTGAAGGTTGACCAACCTGGGTTCAAGTTCATGCTCTGCCACTATCTGCTATGTACTCCAAGTTACTATTTACTATGAGTTGAATGTTTGCATTCATGAGGGTCATTAGGGCAGAGCCTTCATCATGAGATTAGTGCCCTTGTAAGAAGAGACAAAGGTGAAAATACAGCAAAAAGGTGGCCATCTGCAAACCAGGAAGAAGGTTATCACCAGAACTCAACCATACTGGTATCAGACTTCAGACTGCCAGACTGTGAAAATAAATGTTTGTTGTGTAAGCCACCCAGTCTATGGTATTCTGTTTTGCAGCCTGAGTAGATAAATATCTTCTCTGAACCTAAAGGCTTTCATCTGTAAAAGTGAGAAGTCCCTGTAGAGTTACTATGAAGATCATATGTGTAAAGAACCTTTCACAGGGCCTCACCTCTAATCTGTGTGGTTATTACCAAAGATGAGGAAAGAGGCTCAGAGAGCTTAAGTGATTTGCCCAAGATCACACAGCTAGTTTCTTTCCCTACCCCTATACCACCATAGCCCTAGTTGTTCAGAACTGCCCATATGGCCCCTTACCTTGCCCATCCCTCCTTGGGCATCTCCTATATCTTTAAAGTAACCTTTAAAGTAAACGTTAAAGTAATCTTTAAAGTAACCTTTAAAGTAACCATTAAAGTAATCTTTAAAGTAACCTCTATTAATGTGCTAATGAAATATGGAATGTGGAAATGTGCTAGATTTGAATGAAAAGAACTGGAATCTAGCATGCGTCACCTTCCTCTGTGGCCTTGGGAAGTAACTTCTCCTGTGGGGTTTCAGTTTCCACTAGAGGATCACTCAGGGTACTTCTAATTTTGACACCTTTTGCCTCTTTGAAAGTATTACCCTATCAGATCAGAAGTACCTGCTTTCTAATAAATCCTGGAACTAGTAAAGCCATTATATCAAAAGCAAATATCTCTTCATAATGTCACTTTATCTGCCATGAAAAAGACTCAGGGATATTCTTTTCTGTTTTCTGAAGGTTTTTTGGTTTTTTTTTTTTTTTTGTATTTTTGGGTAGGAAGCTCTTTCTAGCAACTTACAACCATAACAGAGGAATAGCTGTCTATAACAAGTATGTGTTCAGGTCATCATAGGAAGAGAATGACAGTGATATTCCAGGATTTTAAGTTCTGCAAATCAACAAAAGTTCTCAGTTCATGGGAGTGAGAAACTGTATAATTCTTAAGTGTCAATTAAAAGTGAGAGTAAAAAAGCCCTTAACCTTTATAAGAGGATAAAGGCAAAAATAAAGAACTCATTGAGTGGAGACATAAAAAGGAAGAGAATTGAGTATAAAGGCCACTCAGATCAGCAGCAATTTTCTAGGGATAATTTCTGCAATTGCTTTGAAAGGTATCTTTATTCAAATGAGTCTTCCTGAACAGAAAAAAAAAAAATCTCTGAGATGCATCCTTACAGCATAAAAATTCACTGGATCCAGTTCTTGTTGAAGATCAAACAGAATAAGATCATTTGAAAATAGAAGGAATGTACTTTTTAGTCAAATGTAAACATCTCTCTTCCTAGAGACACATTTCATTTTACTGCTGCATTGATTTCCTCTTTTCTGTTACCTTTCTAATATTCTAATTCTAATATGTAAGAATGTGACATCATTAAGGACCACTTGGGAAAATTATGATTGATGGGTGGAACCGCAGGGGTGTGCATGGAGAGCCTGGCAAAATGGGAATCAAAAGCATATGGATCCCCAGATCCTTGGGAAAAGACATAACCATTTTCTCTATAAGTAAATGGAAAACAAGAAGCCTCAAAAAAGATCTCTGTCTTCTATTAACACCAAAGTAAAGCTCGACATTAGAATTTTCCTGAGGAGTAATGTGTGTATAGCCACTCCATTTATCACTAAAAATCCTTGCAGAATTCTCATAATACTCTACCTTGGCACATTCTCTATACCTACATATGTCTTCTGCTTTATTTTAATTTGTATCACTTATCACTACCTGACATCATATTAACTATCTTATTAACTATCTGTTTATCTTCTGCACCTCACTACAATAAAGTCCCAAGAGGGTAAAGGTGGTTTGTTTTGTTCACTGCTGTGCCCCTAGTATCTGGTACACAGCCTGGTACATAGTAAAAGGTCAATAAAGTTTAGTTGAAGAAATGAGTAGTAAAATTTAAACTTGTAACCACATGGACTGGGTTTACATCATCACAAAGTTTTCTCTGATCACACAAGGTATTTGTAAACTCATGGCTTCAGTTTTACAGCACTACTAGAAAGGTTGGTTAGTTGGATCTGAAAATATCCATATCCTTTGACCAAGATTAAGATTTAACCCAAACACAAAGATTTATGTTTAAATATGGAAGAAGTCATGGAAGTTTTTACTTGTAACAGAAAAACTGGAAGTGGTTTAATTATAATAAACAGTAATTATTAATAATTTGACACTTGTAATTTAATGTCAAACAATAGGATAATAGCTAAGAAAATTATGATATATATTATATAGAGTTTTAAATCATATATGTAAAAGCTTAGGATAAATTGCTAGGTAAAAAGAGTAAAATCACAGTTGACTCTATATAGAGTATGAAAACAACAGAGGAATATACCCAAGTTAAATAATACCAAAGTGTTGTAGTTTCCTGGAAAAAAAAAAAATTTTTTTTTTTTGCCTACTTAGGCATTTTTTTTTCTCCTTTCTGACTCTCTGAATTTTCTGTGAATGATCTGGTGATAATTTTATAAATGACAGATAAGGAAAAAAAAAACATTATGGTGAGGTTTACTGGTAATTTAACCTTTTTTTTTCTGGTATATGTAAAATTGTTAATCATATGCAATGAAAACATACAGTTAGATGATACTATGAAGAGAAGTAAAAATTGTTTTATAAATTATTTTTCCCATCAATTACTTCTTTCAAGAAAAAACTTTTCCGAATAAAACTCTATAAATTAAATTCACTTGAATTCTTCATGACAAGAATGCATTTGTCAGCATGGCAATATCTAACATTAGAAAGCA